CATAAGCTCTGACAATATAGTTTTCTTCTCCACTCTTGGAAATGCCTTTTCACCATTTTAGTAATGAAAACAATGCCTTTTTTCTTATTGCTTATAGGTTTCCAAAGTCCTTATCCTAGGATCGGGAGGCCTCTCCATTGGTCAGGCAGGTGAATTTGATTACTCGGGATCTCAAGCTGTAAAAGCCATGAAGGTGAGAGAATCTGATCTTTGCTAGAATTAATATACTTCCTTTTAATGAGTCTAATTAGTATTTTATAATTTAGATTTATGACACGACCTCTCTTCAAAGTCACTGTGATTATTTCTCTTAACTATTCCTTACGCATCTTGAATTAAAGGAAGCTTGATTACAAACAAGATTTTCAACTTTCTCAAATATGCACATTTGCAAATTAAGGAGGTTAGATTGGTCTCCAAAATTATTTAAGTTATTGCCTACTTATACTGAAAACATATAAAGCCACATTAATTGATGCTGCTTATTCCTTTTGAGGAAGTGAGCTTTTCAAATATATTTGTATTTTACATGAAAGATGGAATTTGGGCATCCCTGGTGCTTTAAAGTACTTCAAGTGTACTACAAGATGCTTCAGGCATCTCTATCGTTGAAATGGGAAGCTCCAGTTGAGGGAGTAAGGGCAACAATGCATTTTGTTCAACTTCTAGAAGTTATTACCTGTCACTAGGGGACCCAGTTCCCTATCAGTGATTTGGAAAACAGGATGGTATGGCTGAATTTTCAAGTGGAAAAGAGGATTTGATAACCAAATTGGGAAGGGCATCCTCCCTGTTTCTTCAAATCTTCTCGCAATCTCCTTAACCCTTATTGTAGTAAAATACAATAGAAAAATACTTTAGAAAAATTCAATTGTATATTTAAGGTATTTCTCTTGAAGAGCTAACTTGGCCTCTCTTTGGTGTCCTTATTTCCTGGCATGGTCTCCATCATGGTGTCAATCAGAGGCAATGTGAGCTCTTGGTGACCTTGCTTGCAGTGTAACGCTGTTGACCAGGGACCTGGCTAGAAGGGGGCAACATAGGAAGGCAGCAGGAAACTAGGGCGGCAAATGTGGAAGAACAGTTGGCCAAAAGTTTTTTTTTTTTTTTTTTTCAGTATTCTATATTCAAAGATTTTCACCTCATAGATGTTTACTGAAAAGAGGTAGAACACAGTTCCATTGACCTTACTCTTCTACCCATTTGTTTTCCTTTTTTTAAATACTCTCCTCCATGCATGCATGGGTGTACATATACCTGCACAGATTTTTTTCTGCATATTTACAAAATGATCCTTTACTTTTCATAATTGTATTATGGTTCAATTTCTCATTTGATAGATAATTGGAAGATGTCCAGTGGTTTAGACTGGTTAGAACACAATCTGAGTGTATTCAGAGTTTTCAGTATATCCTATTGGGAGTTTTACGAAGAATATTTTCATAGCTTGTATTTTTATGGGTTTTACATCCATTGGGTAGAGTTATACATTTTTAACTAAAGAATAGGAATTATTAGATCATATTGTAAAAGAGGCTAATAGAGATGAATTCATGAACTAAA